ACAGGAACTCCCTGAAACTTCACTGTTAAAGATACAGAAGCCCCAGTTTGAACTAATCAACGCCAAAGACCGACTCTTGGGACTGAATACCCCCCCCCAATCAACTGCCCCCAGAGCCCTATTCATCACACCAGGGAATTAATCAAACTTCATCAACAGACTCCCAAGACTGCACGTACCTGCGGATATGACCCCTGGGGCTGACAGCTGCTATCCAGCAACCAGCAAGGGGGACATCCCATGAGGTCAACGACCCCTGGACTGGGTAAGCCTGAAAATTGGGGAGTCACCAAAGTCTGCCAGAGAGGGATAAAAGGCAGCAAAGAATGACCTCCAATGGCACCCTCTTCGACCTGACCAGCACCCTGCCTCCCCAGCCAGAAGGACCAACCGGCAACTCCCTTCTGAAGGCACATCACACTGAAAGAAGCCTCAACTGGCCATTGACGACAGACTTCAGCACTTGGGGATAGGTATATCTTGACATCGGTGATTAGTGTTCATAGCTGGCTACTGTGAGTGTGTGTGTGCGCATGAATGTGTGTGTGTTTGAGGGGATCAGCCCCAAGGTTTATGATCTGACTTTTGCATCCATCTAATAACTAGAATTTTATGATGATCCTGTGAGTTGGTATTTTGTAGCCAACACTATCACCTAAAAAGCCTGGAATGCCATCACCAGTACTATCTTCAGAAGATCCTTGGCATAAAGTGGAAGGATTGTCACACAAATGCCAGTGTCCTCACTGACACAAACTCTACCAATATGGAAGTGTCAATTGTTCAATGTAAGCTGTGGTGGACAGCACAATGTATGCTCATGCCTGATGCACGTGTACCAAAACAACTTCTATACTTCCAAGTCAGCCAAAGACAAAAGACACATGGGGGCCAGAGGAAATGTTTCAAGGACACCCATAAGGTGAACATTAAGAAGTGTGGCATTGACACCACAAATTGGAAAAAGCTAGCCTAAGACAGGGCTACATGGTGACGTCTTGTGAGAGAAGGACATCTTACTTCAAGGAAAACCATCTTGCCCTGGAGGAAACAAAACAACAGAAACATAAGTAAAGGAAAGAAGACCAAGAAAACTGTGGTCCAACTCTCCCTTTAACCATCACCTGTGGCATTTGTGGCTCTAGGATTGGCCTTCCTAGCCAAAAACAGATTCATTTACATTGAACCATTGACTACTACCCTCTGAGCCCAGTGATTCAGCCCGTTTCCTTTCCACCTTACAGACCAATCATGCGATCCATACTTCCTTAGCTTACCTGAGAGAATGTTGTGGGAGACGGTATGAAAAGCCTTGTGAAAGTCAAAGTATATCACCTTCACTAGTCTCCCCGTATCTGTGGAGCCAGTTGTCTCATCACAGAAAACAATCAAGTTGGTCAGGCATGACTTGTCCTTGGACAATCCATGCTGACTGTTCCTAATCACCAGGGATCCTGGTTTTTCTGATTAAAAAAAAAATCCACAATTTTTGGATAAAAAAGTAAGCCAAAATCCACATTTTTCCATGATTAAAATGAAACACCACTACATATACATTTATGTATTAGAGGTGTTTCATTTTAATCAGGGAAAAATGGGGATTTTGGATTTTTTTTTTACCTGAAAATTGGGGATTTTGGATTTTTTTTTTACCTGAAAATTAGGGATTTTTTTTTATCAGAGGGTTTTTGGTTTTTTTTTTTCCATAAAAATTGGGTTTTTTTTTTTATGAAAAAAACCCAGGCCCCCTGCTAATCACTTTCTCCAAGTGCTTAGAAATCAATACCTTGAGGACCTGCTCCATGATTTTTCCAGGGACTGAGGTGAGGCTGACCAGTCTGTAGTTCTTCTTCCCTTTTTTAAAGATGTGCACTATATTTGGCATTTTCCAATCATCTAGGACTTCTCCCATTCTCTATGAGTTTTCAAAGATGATGCCCAGCAGCTCTACTATCACATTGGCCAACTCCCTCAGCACCCTCATGTGCATCCGGCTGCATGGACTTGTTCATGTCCAGCTTTTCTAAATAGTACCTAACCTGATCTATTGCAACTGTTGCCTGCTCACCTCCTCCCCAAACTGTGCTGCCCAGTGCAGTAGTCTGCGAGCTGACTTTGCCTGTGAAGAATGGGGTGGAAAGGCATTGAGTACTTCAGCCTTTCCTGAATCCTCTGTCACTAGTTTGCCTCCACCATTTAGTAAAGGATCCACTATTTCTCTGTTCTTCTTGTTGCTGACATACTTGTAGAAAGCCTTCTTGTTACTCCTTCACGTCCTTTTCTAGCAACTCCAATTGTGCTTTGGTCTTCCTGATTTCAGCCCTGCATGCCCAAGCAATATCTCCTATACTCCTCCCTAGTTCTTTGTCCAGGTTTCCACTTCTTATAAGCTTCCTTTCTGTGTTTTAGCTCACTGAAGAGTTCCCTGATAAGCCAAGCTGGTCTTCTGCCATACTTGCTAGTCTGCCTAGAACATTGGGATTGTTTGTTCTTACTCCCTCAGTAAGGTTTCTTTAAAATACAGCCAGCACTCCTGGATTCAACACTCTCCCCTTCAGACTGGCCTTCCAGGGGATCCTGCCCATCAGTTCCCTGACTGAATCAAAGTCTGCTTTTCTGAAGTCCAGGGTTGATACCTGCTGCTATCCTTCTGGCCTTTCCTCAGAATCCTGAGTTCTCATCTCATGGTTGCTGCTTCTCAAGTTGGCATCCACTACTACATTCCCCAATTTTTTCCCCCTGTTTGTGAGCAACAGGTCAAAAAGAGCATGACCCCTAGGTGGCTTCTTTAACATGTATACTAGGAAGTTGTCTCCAACACTCTCCATCTTCACCAAGGAAAATGTACTATGTCTTCCTCTTACCTCTTCCTGGACTTCAGAGCAAATTCATGCATCCTTGATATACTGTGAAGTACTTTTACTCTTTTTCTTTGTCTGTCTTTCTGGAACAAACTATACCCTTTTAATCTAATATTCTGATGTTGTAATTTATACTACCAAATCTCTATGTTGCCAATTAAATCCACGTTATGTTTGTGTTGTTAAACTTGAAGTCCTTCCCATTTATTCCCTGTACCCAGGCCATTTCTTTAGAGCCATCTCAGGTGCTTGCCAAATTGTTCTCTTTGTCTCCATCTTGTTTTTTCTATTACACTATTGCAATGTCACCTCCCATCTGCCCACTTCATTTTAGTCTCAACACCAATTCAGTACCTGTTTATTACTCATTTTTGTGCTCTCTTCAAAGTAAAATTAAAATCTTTTTATTAGGCTGATGAGAGTCCTTGAATACTCTTCCTCTCTCTTATCAGCAGGGATACTGATTTTCTCTGATTAAAAAATCCCCAATTTGGGGGTTAAAAAAGTAACCCAAAATCCACATTTTCCCATGGTTAAAATGAAATGCCACTAATACATACACATATATATAGTGATGTTTCATTTTGATCACAGAAAAATATGGATTTTGGGTTACTTTTTATAACCCCAAAATTGGGGATTTTTATCAGATGGACCTAAAGCTTCCCAGGAACTGTGATATAACTTGTATCCTCCCATGCCCCCACTCCATGCTCTGTTTGTGGATGTTTTCTGTTTCTGTCCTTCCATTAAAGCCAAATAAAATGTTTCGCAAGACCATTTATCGTTTTCAACATACCTTAGGAGGGCAGCTACTTCAAAGAATTATTTGGAGAGAGGAGGATGGTCATAAGATACAGTTCATACCTGGGACAAAAATGGCATTGAGAACTTTGGCCATTGCTCCTATATGGAACCAGAAGCCTTGTAAAGTGGGATGGATCAGGCCTCCTTTTTCCACTAGCTGATCCAGAGAGGTATTATGGGTTATCTGACTCACTTGTTAAGGGTTTGTTTAGATAAATGAAGAGCTGATTCAACAGGAGTCTATCTGCTAATCTTGTGGGGAATCTAAGGCAGATTAGGTTGTTTCTCCTAACTCAGGAGAACAAAAGCCTCTGGAAATATTTGTGAATATGAGAGAACTAGTGAGAAGAGTTTATATGAAGCTGCCAGAGTGTACCAGAGCTGGAGATAGGTCCAGTACCACCAAGCTTGAGAGTCTGAGCCTTCTATAGTCTTCGACTTGTAGGCTGACAGCTTGGCCTTAAAACACATGCTTAGGAGCCACCCTTCTAGTCTCACCCACCATATCTTGATTTTATTTAAATGAGCAGAAGGTTCTGGATTGGGGCTCTGTGTGTGGATGTTTTTTCTTGTGAGGCTTCTGCCTTCCCTTCACCCAATCTACATGCCAACCAGGTGTTTAAGGTCCCAAGGCCAATATTAAATAAAAAGGGAACAAAAAATACCCAGGCACTTGATGCTGGATCAAGTCTACAGAAGCAGTTTCTCAGTCCTGGTTTTCAAGTTCCAGGGTTTTCATCTTAGAGGCACCTCTCAGGTTTGCATCAGTGTTCTCCTGACTAAATAACTGTCCTCCAAATATAGCAAAAACTTCTGGCCTTTGAGTCAGGCTCAATGACCCCTTAGGCAGCCTCCCTGCATTTCTTTCACTCAGCCCTGCTGGGAAACTAACACTTTTTGCTGCCAGGTTAATTAAAGAACAGTAAGTCAATTACAGAGTTAATAAATCAATTTTGGCCCTGCTGGGCACTGTCTCACGTGCTGGCCCCACTTCTCTAAAGGTCCTGGCTCAGGTCTCGTTAAGGAACCATCAGTGCCATTCCCTCGCAGCGATCAGATCCCTGCTGTCCTAGTTGCCATGAGGAAGTCCCAGACAGCTCTACACAGCCCTGGACACATGGGCAACTGGTGCCTCCAGAGTCTGGGGGAGCACCAGTGGCTGATAGCCAACTGGGGAGGGGGGTGGACCCCCAGCAGCCAATTGCAGCATTGGTGGCAAAAACAGAAAGGCCCCATCTCATTACATGGGGGCCAGAGGAAATGTTTCAAGGACACCCATAAGGTGAACATTAAGAAGTGTGGCATTGACACCACAAATTGGAAAAAGCTAGCCTAAGACAGGGCTACATGGTGACGTCTTGTGAGAGAAGGACATCTTACTTCAAGGAAAACCATCTTGCCCTGGAGGAAACAAAACAACAGAAACATAAGTAAAGGAAAGAAGACCAAGAAAACTGTGGTCCAACTCTCCCTTTAACCATCACCTGTGGCATTTGTGGCTCTAGGATTGGCCTTCCTAGCCAAAAACAGATTCATTTACATTGAACCATTGACTACTACCCTCTGAGCCCAGTGATTCAGCCCGTTTCCTTTCCACCTTACAGACCAATCATGCGATCCATACTTCCTTAGCTTACCTGAGAGAATGTTGTGGGAGACGGTATGAAAAGCCTTGTGAAAGTCAAAGTATATCACCTTCACTAGTCTCCCCGTATCTGTGGAGCCAGTTGTCTCATCACAGAAAACAATCAAGTTGGTCAGGCATGACTTGTCCTTGGACAATCCATGCTGACTGTTCCTAATCACCAGGGATCCTGGTTTTTCTGATTAAAAAAAAAATCCACAATTTTTGGATAAAAAAGTAAGCCAAAATCCACATTTTTCCATGATTAAAATGAAACACCACTACATATACATTTATGTATTAGAGGTGTTTCATTTTAATCAGGGAAAAATGGGGATTTTGGATTTTTTTTTTACCTGAAAATTGGGGATTTTGGATTTTTTTTTTACCTGAAAATTGGGGATTTTGGATTTTTTTTTTACCTGAAAATTGGGGATTTTGGATTTTTTTTTTACCTGAAAATTGGGGATTTTGGATTTTTTTTTTACCTGAAAATTGGGGATTTTGGATTTTTTTTTTACCTGAAAATTGGGGATTTTGGATTTTTTTTTTACCTGAAAATTGGGGATTTTGGATTTTTTTTTTACCTGAAAATTGGGGATTTTGGATTTTTTTTTTACCTGAAAATTGGGGATTTTGGATTTTTTTTTTACCTGAAAATTGGGGATTTTGGATTTTTTTTTTACCTGAAAATTGGGGATTTTGGATTTTTTTTTTACCTGAAAATTGGGGATTTTGGATTTTTTTTTTACCTGAAAATTGGGGATTTTGGATTTTTTTTTTACCTGAAAATTGGGGATTTTGGATTTTTTTTTTACCTGAAAATTGGGGATTTTGGATTTTTTTTTTACCTGAAAATTGGGGATTTTGGATTTTTTTTTTACCTGAAAATTGGGGATTTTGGATTTTTTTTTTACCTGAAAATTGGGGATTTTGGATTTTTTTTTTACCTGAAAATTGGGGATTTTGGATTTTTTTTTTACCTGAAAATTGGGGATTTTGGATTTTTTTTTTACCTGAAAATTGGGGATTTTGGATTTTTTTTTTACCTGAAAATTGGGGATTTTGGATTTTTTTTTTACCTGAAAATTGGGGATTTTGGATTTTTTTTTTACCTGAAAATTGGGGATTTTGGATTTTTTTTTTACCTGAAAATTGGGGATTTTGGATTTTTTTTTTACCTGAAAATTAGGGATTTTTTTTTATCAGAGAAAACCAGGATCCCTGCTAATCACTTTCTCCAAGTGCTTAGAAATCAATACCTTGAGGACCTGCTCCATGATTTTTCCAGGGACTGAGGTGAGGCTGACCAGTCTGTAGTTCTTCTTCCCTTTTTTAAAGATGTGCACTATATTTGGCATTTTCCAATCATCTAGGACTTCTCCCATTCTCTATGAGTTTTCAAAGATGATGCCCAGCAGCTCTACTATCACATTGGCCAACTCCCTCAGCACCCTCATGTGCATCCGGCTGCATGGACTTGTTCATGTCCAGCTTTTCTAAATAGTACCTAACCTGATCTATTGCAACTGTTGCCTGCTCACCTCCTCCCCAAACTGTGCTGCCCAGTGCAGTAGTCTGCGAGCTGACTTTGCCTGTGAAGAATGGGGTGGAAAGGCATTGAGTACTTCAGCCTTTCCTGAATCCTCTGTCACTAGTTTGCCTCCACCATTTAGTAAAGGATCCACTATTTCTCTGTTCTTCTTGTTGCTGACATACTTGTAGAAAGCCTTCTTGTTACTCCTTCACGTCCTTTTCTAGCAACTCCAATTGTGCTTTGGTCTTCCTGATTTCAGCCCTGCATGCCCAAGCAATATCTCCTATACTCCTCCCTAGTTCTTTGTCCAGGTTTCCACTTCTTATAAGCTTCCTTTCTGTGTTTTAGCTCACTGAAGAGTTCCCTGATAAGCCAAGCTGGTCTTCTGCCATACTTGCTAGTCTGCCTAGAACATTGGGATTGTTTGTTCTTACTCCCTCAGTAAGGTTTCTTTAAAATACAGCCAGCACTCCTGGATTCAACACTCTCCCCTTCAGACTGGCCTTCCAGGGGATCCTGCCCATCAGTTCCCTGACTGAATCAAAGTCTGCTTTTCTGAAGTCCAGGGTTGATACCTGCTGCTATCCTTCTGGCCTTTCCTCAGAATCCTGAGTTCTCATCTCATGGTTGCTGCTTCTCAAGTTGGCATCCACTACTACATTCCCCAATTTTTTCCCCCTGTTTGTGAGCAACAGGTCAAAAAGAGCATGACCCCTAGGTGGCTTCTTTAACATGTATACTAGGAAGTTGTCTCCAACACTCTCCATCTTCACCAAGGAAAATGTACTATGTCTTCCTCTTACCTCTTCCTGGACTTCAGAGCAAATTCATGCATCCTTGATATACTGTGAAGTACTTTTACTCTTTTTCTTTGTCTGTCTTTCTGGAACAAACTATACCCTTTTAATCTAATATTCTGATGTTGTAATTTATACTACCAAATCTCTATGTTGCCAATTAAATCCACGTTATGTTTGTGTTGTTAAACTTGAAGTCCTTCCCATTTATTCCCTGTACCCAGGCCATTTCTTTAGAGCCATCTCAGGTGCTTGCCAAATTGTTCTCTTTGTCTCCATCTTGTTTTTTCTATTACACTATTGCAATGTCACCTCCCATCTGCCCACTTCATTTTAGTCTCAACACCAATTCAGTACCTGTTTATTACTCATTTTTGTGCTCTCTTCAAAGTAAAATTAAAATCTTTTTATTAGGCTGATGAGAGTCCTTGAATACTCTTCCTCTCTCTTATCAGCAGGGATACTGATTTTCTCTGATTAAAAAATCCCCAATTTGGGGGTTAAAAAAGTAACCCAAAATCCACATTTTCCCATGGTTAAAATGAAATGCCACTAATACATACACATATATATAGTGATGTTTCATTTTGATCACAGAAAAATATGGATTTTGGGTTACTTTTTATAACCCCAAAATTGGGGATTTTTATCAGATGGACCTAAAGCTTCCCAGGAACTGTGATATAACTTGTATCCTCCCATGCCCCCACTCCATGCTCTGTTTGTGGATGTTTTCTGTTTCTGTCCTTCCATTAAAGCCAAATAAAATGTTTCGCAAGACCATTTATCGTTTTCAACATACCTTAGGAGGGCAGCTACTTCAAAGAATTATTTGGAGAGAGGAGGATGGTCATAAGATACAGTTCATACCTGGGACAAAAATGGCATTGAGAACTTTGGCCATTGCTCCTATATGGAACCAGAAGCCTTGTAAAGTGGGATGGATCAGGCCTCCTTTTTCCACTAGCTGATCCAGAGAGGTATTATGGGTTATCTGACTCACTTGTTAAGGGTTTGTTTAGATAAATGAAGAGCTGATTCAACAGGAGTCTATCTGCTAATCTTGTGGGGAATCTAAGGCAGATTAGGTTGTTTCTCCTAACTCAGGAGAACAAAAGCCTCTGGAAATATTTGTGAATATGAGAGAACTAGTGAGAAGAGTTTATATGAAGCTGCCAGAGTGTACCAGAGCTGGAGATAGGTCCAGTACCACCAAGCTTGAGAGTCTGAGCCTTCTATAGTCTTCGACTTGTAGGCTGACAGCTTGGCCTTAAAACACATGCTTAGGAGCCACCCTTCTAGTCTCACCCACCATATCTTGATTTTATTTAAATGAGCAGAAGGTTCTGGATTGGGGCTCTGTGTGTGGATGTTTTTTCTTGTGAGGCTTCTGCCTTCCCTTCACCCAATCTACATGCCAACCAGGTGTTTAAGGTCCCAAGGCCAATATTAAATAAAAAGGGAACAAAAAATACCCAGGCACTTGATGCTGGATCAAGTCTACAGAAGCAGTTTCTCAGTCCTGGTTTTCAAGTTCCAGGGTTTTCATCTTAGAGGCACCTCTCAGGTTTGCATCAGTGTTCTCCTGACTAAATAACTGTCCTCCAAATATAGCAAAAACTTCTGGCCTTTGAGTCAGGCTCAATGACCCCTTAGGCAGCCTCCCTGCATTTCTTTCACTCAGCCCTGCTGGGAAACTAACACTTTTTGCTGCCAGGTTAATTAAAGAACAGTAAGTCAATTACAGAGTTAATAAATCAATTTTGGCCCTGCTGGGCACTGTCTCACGTGCTGGCCCCACTTCTCTAAAGGTCCTGGCTCAGGTCTCGTTAAGGAACCATCAGTGCCATTCCCTCGCAGCGATCAGATCCCTGCTGTCCTAGTTGCCATGAGGAAGTCCCAGACAGCTCTACACAGCCCTGGACACATGGGCAACTGGTGCCTCCAGAGTCTGGGGGAGCACCAGTGGCTGATAGCCAACTGGGGAGGGGGGTGGACCCCCAGCAGCCAATTGCAGCATTGGTGGCAAAACCAGAAGTCTCCAATCTCATCAGGGGCACTTGGCACCCCCACCCCCTGGCCAGCAAGGGCAAATCACATGCTCCCCGTTTCCCCCTATGCATCGCCTATGCCTGGGTACCAGGTGCTGAGTGCTCATCCAAGCACTCAGTCTTCAGGCTACTTCCCTCACCAGCGTCGGAGGGAACAGCTGAGTGCTCTGCTCCCAGAGCAGCCTCTGTTCTGCCCCTGCACTACACTATGCCTGCACTGTGCCTTCCTCCCCCCCAGCTGGCACTGGACATCTGGTTCTACCAGATGCCTCAGTGCACCCACCGATACACAGTGAGCACACACTTCTAAAGCGCAGCTGCTGCTGCATCCACCACTGCCACTGATGTCCCTACAGGTAAGTAGGGAATGCCTCCAGCCCTTACCAGGCCATTCTGCTCTCCCTGGTGCTCAGGGATGATTCCCTGGAAGTTCCCCTACCCAGGTTCCTTGAGGAGCTGAGTCCCCACTAGCTCTTTTCAAAACCTTTGTAAAGAGAAAAAATGAAACTGCATGAGAATATCAAGAAAGAAGTATGTTAAAATAGCAGCATAGAATTTGGACCGTGGCAAAATGTGGACCTCTACTCACCCTCTTGCAAAATATGAGATGTTTAATAATAAGTAACAAGATGTTTAACCATAAGTAATGTGAAAAACAACTTCCAACAGCATCCTGTAGAATAATACTGCCCAAGAATGCTTTGAATATCAATTAATCAGAACTAAAGCTAATCAATAGCAAATACTGGATATTTTTAATCTAAAAATTGTTATTTTTTTCTTAATCAAGTTTTCTCATAGAGATGTCTTACCACTTTTTAGAGTTTGTTTTTCCCATTTAGTACCATTTATTTTATTTTTAAGAGAGATGTATTCTATATTTTTTATCTTATTGAATTCATTTACCAGTAAATGAAACATTTCAATAATTGTTTTGTAGTAGGTTTAATAATATTTTCAATTAAAAAATATGAACAAAAATCAGTTCCTTTGCAATGAGTCTAAACCACTCCCACATGAAAATAGGTCTCCATTCTTCAAACAGCTCTGCTTAGAAATAAAAGTGGTCAAAACTGAGTCACTCTCAAAGGTACTTGGGATTTCTTAGTAGTTTAATTAAGATTTAACTCAGATTAACCTAAGTGGTGGCCTGATGGCATAGAGCTGGTTAAGAAATGTATTGACATAAAACTGCATACCTTTAGATCTCTAATTTTCACCTGGTATATAAAGCAGGACCTCTTTGAGGAACCAATATTAGGTGGATGTTTCCAGGAAATACGAATGCTTCCATTTTCAAGGGCAATAGACACATTATTTGGAGGGTTCAGTTTTTCTGAAAATAAGCAAAGGGAGGAGTAAGCATTTCATACTCTTTCAGTATGTGTTCAAACGAATAGAATACAGCCAAAGTAAAATACACTATTCACATTTTTGGGATAACTGACACAGGATAAGGCTTATTTCACAGGAAGCTGCTTTACAGCAAATGTTACATACTTACTGGCACGCAATAATTTCACCTAGATAAAGCACCAGCTTCTATCGCATGATTGAATCATTGTTTCCCCATAGATTCATAGATTCATAGATGCTAGGGTCAGAAAGGACCTCAATAGATCATCGAGTTCGACCCCCTGCATAGGCAGGAAAGAGGGCTGGGGCTAGATGACCCCAGTTAGATGCCTATCCAACCTCCTCTTGAAGACCCCCAGGGTAGGGGAGAGCACCACCTCCCTTGGGAGCCCATTCCAGACCTTGGCCACTCTAACTGTGAAGAAGTCCTAATGTCTAATCTAAATCTCCTCTCTGCTAGCTTGTGGCCATTATTTCTTGTAACCCCCGGGGGCGCCTTGGTGAATAAAACCTCACCAATTCCCTTCTGTGCCCCCGTGACGAACTTACAGGCAGCCACAAGGTCGCCTCTCAACCTTCTCTTGCGGAGGCTGAAGAGGACCAGGTGCCCCAGTCTCTCCTCATAGGGCTTGGCCTGCAAGCCCTTAACCATACGAGTGGCCCTTCTCTGGACCCTCTCCAGGCTATCCACATCCCTCTTGAATGAGAGGATAGACTCTGAAATGTGTACTCAGCATCGCAGACAAGTGTCCCAAAGACCTTTGGACTGTTGCTGGCTCTATGCTTTGTGTATTGAACAGTGCATTGTGGGATACCTGCAGTGCTTTGTGGAAGTCCTGCAACTCTGAAAATAGCATGATTCCTCCCATGATCTACCTTCTTTTGGGTAATGAGTGCCTTTCTTAAACTGTTAACAGACCATTATGGACAAAACTGCTCCATTTTGTTATGCATGATAGATTGTGTATGCATTTATTCTGTTGCTGGATGGCTGCAACTTCATAAACCAGCAGCTGTAGAACCAAACTGCTTGTTAAATGGGAAAAAAATCTGTTTAAGAACTACTTAAGCATGCGAAGTGTGCCCAGACTGATGACACTAATGGGCTCCTATAGAGGTGCAGTGAGGCTACTCCGATATTCTGTAAATACAGCAAGTCAGAACAGACTTGATTAATCGAGTCTGCTGGAGCGCAGAAATTAATGCATACCAGCAGCCTTCAGCATCATGTGCATCAGCGTCCTCACACTGAAAAATGGCAGTGGGGTACTTTAAAGCTTGTTCGATGAGCTTTGGTGCAAAGTGACTTGCCGTCACTTTTCAGTGTGGAGACGCTGATACACAAGATGCTCAGGTGCTTTTAATTAGCGTGGCTTGCACACACCACACTACTGTGAAAATTTTTACTGTCTGAGTTCCCAGGGCCTGGAATAGACCACCCCCAGAGGTGGTGCAAGCACCTATTCTGGATACTTTGAAAAAAAAAACTTGGATGCCTATCTTGCTGGGATCATTTGACCCCTGCTGACTTCCTACCCCTTGGGCAGGGGGGTTGGACCCAATGATCTTGCGAGGTCCACTCCACCCCTACTGTTTATGATAGATAGATAGATAGATAGATAGATAGATAGATAGATAGTGGCATTTCATTTTGATCACAGAAAAACGTGGATTTGGGGTAACTTTTTTTAACCCGAAAATTAGGGATATATTTTTTTTTTATCAGAGAAAACCAGGATTCCTATTAATCACCCTGCTCATCAGCCCTCTAATGACAAGTCACAGCTGTGCAGATGAGGGACAGTCAGAGAAGCACTAACACTGACCAACACTTGAGTAGTTTAAAGTGCAACGTATAACAAGGCCCTTTGTTGCTGCAGCCTCGAGGGAGTTTCAGAAACACCATGCATGTTTCTATTGTTTTGTGTTGGGTTTTATTTCACAATTTCCATTTCACAGGAAGTTAAAAATTGTTTTGGTTCACTTCAAAAACCAATATTCCAAATTGAAATCTCTTGTAAGTGCAATATCTTGCTTTTGGGCCAGACTCGCTCATAATTTAATTTCAAGTAATGTCATGAAATCCCATTGATATAAATCAATACAAATATGATCAGAATGTCACTCAGAATATAGATGAGACTCAGCTTTGGGTGTGGGCTGTGTTCTGAAATAATTTACAGTGGTGGAAAGTTGAAACAACAGTAATGGACTTCTTTTTGCTTTGATTTCAGTGGAGACATTCCCGATTTTCTCTGGTGTAGCTGAGGTTAGAATCAACATTTAAGGGTAATTAAATCAGAATGTGAATCAGAGTTAAAAAGGAAACTACCAACACCTACCATCAAAGCTTTTCACCTCTTAGACAACTATAAAAATTTATGACAGACAATGAAAAAATAAACGTATATGATCAGCAAAAATGATCATTTCAAGTTCATTGTCTTCAAATAAATTGTATAATTTTGACAAAAAAACCTTTGAAATAAATAGAAGTCTTCATGAAAAGTCTTCCTTTTAAATAATTTCCAAAATTAAGAAGATTATTTATTTTCAATTTTTGCTTCTCTGCTTTTCAAGTGAAAAAAAAGGTGGAAAAGGGAAATAAAGGGGATAATAAAGAGAGGGAGAAAGGAAAAGGAGGAGGAAATGAAGGGTAAAAGTCAATCTTTTCCATAGGAAAAATCTATGAAGATAGTCAAAATTTTAAAAATAAATCACTACTTTTCAAAATGTGAAGAACAAATATTTTCAATATTTTTATTTCTTTTCATAAATAATCTATCATTTTTCAAGGAGCTCTAATTATGAATAATTATTGTATGCTACAGACAAAAATACTTTTTCTGGACCGTATCAGCTTTTGAGATTGCAGAAGTTTTACCCAAACATTAATGCATATAAACAGTCACACTTGTCTTCCTCAGTGAAATCACATTGTGAACATTTGATAAAAATATTCAATAACAGAAAACACTTACCTATTCTCTGAGGGATAAAGGCTTTGTAATAGGTATGTGTTCCTAAATTATTTCTTAAATCCTTTACAGATATATTTAATTTGATTTTGCTTGGAGGTATAAAATATACTTCTTTGAAGTGGCAACCAGTGTTTTTCTTGTTTATATTTTTAAAATGTAGCTGGCATTCATAATCTCTTTTATTGTGCCTGTGTAAGCCAATAAGAGTATTTTAGAGCTCAGAAGATTTTGAATATTGCTTTACCCTTGTTTAAATGAGACTCTTACCCAAGGGTGGGCAAAATATGGCCCATGGGCTGGATCTGGCCTGTGGAGGGACTTTGTCTAGCCCATGGTGAGTTTCTTGGCCCCATCTGGATTAGGCACTGCCTGGCCCATGGCATGTCCTGCTGGGTATGCAGTGAGGGGGTGGGGGGAGGGCTGAGCAGAACCTTCTGCTTATCCACTGCCACTGCTCAGCGTGGGCAGGCAGTCCAGAGCAGGTGCAGAGCAGGCCGGGGTTGGGGCTGTGATCATAGGTTCTGGCTGGTCTACAGCTGGTTTGCTGTTCTGGGCTGAGTCTGGAGTGGGCACTGGCTGGGGTTGGGGCTCTGTATGTGGGTCCCTGCCAGTACCATGGGGCTTGGGCCAGTGGCAGTGGTAGCCAGAAGGAGCTACTGGGGGCACCTGGGCTGCCTAGAAAAGTGAGGCAGTCCAGGGTCAGGGGTGGGCCTGTGGCGGTGGCATGTTGTCAATAGCTGTTGTAGGGGGAGCTCCCCAGAACTGCCTATGTGGCCCGTGGGCCGAAATAATTGCCCACCCCTGTTCTTACCTATAGGAAAGAAAATACTGAACATCTTCAGGAGCTTCTGTTTTAATATCCCACGTACAATTTAAATTAGAAATGTTGTATATGACACATGAGAGATTTTGAATATACACTGTAAGCAAAAAAAAACAAAAAACAAAACAGGATGAAGTGTTGTTGCAAATTTTACATTGTTTCTTATGATAGGTCCCAACACAAATCCATGAGAGAGAGATAAAGGAATGGATCCCAATTTCTAAAAGACAGCTGAAGTGTCTGCCACTACCTCCACAACAGTTGGAATCAGATAATATTTTTACTTGTTTTGCCAGGAATTCCTCCATTAAACCATTTGCAGACAGGACAATTTATCTTGCAGTAGCTAAGTAGCTAAGTAAAACCACCACACTCTGGATTCTCTAGCAACCATCTGCTATGGAAGGAAGGCTCCACAAACAATGCAGTGGCCAGGGAAGTCCAAGAGAACAATGGGTGGTTTCTTCATTTTACTCTGTAGACCAAAGGTAGTACTTTTGTTGAAGCATTGTACTTCCACCTATCTTTCCCACTGTGCAGCCTATGAAATGAGATTATTGGCTTTGAGACAATGCTTTTATATTGTATTATGATTAGGGGATCTACCTAATTCAAGGAGACGGCTGGCCAATTTTGCAGGCAGACCCTGAGGCCAACCATCATTTTCATGGGCTGAGCACAATGGGCCCCCACACCTCCAATTGGCCAAGGAGGCCCCAGTGGTCCCACCTCTCACTCCTGATTGTTTGTGAAAGCTGTCCATCAAATGGCCCCACCACTCACTGCTGATTGGTTGTGAGGGTGGTCTGCCATGCAACTCTGCCCCTCACTGTTGATTGGTGGAGATGGGTGAGGCCACACATCAAGTAGCTCTCTCAACCAATCAGCAATAAGAGGCAGCAGCTCTTTGTGCCGATAGCCCTCCACCCTCCCTTTTCTCCTAGCAGGCTGCATGACTGGGAAGCCAGCATTTTTTTTTCAGTAAGTTGGGGTTTTTTTACAGCAGCAGCAAGCCCACCAAAATCATGGAGCCCACTGTTTTTCATGGAACCAGTCATTTTTCATTGAGCCTGTCTGAATTCAGAGTTTCCATAAAAATCACATAATTGCAAGTTTGGTAGGTGCCTAATCATGGTATACCTCAGGTGTTAAAAATAGTGCATGGAAAAGAAATGGTTAGCATTGGCCAGATCTTAGAACTGAGGTAGGTTATTGTCATACATTTTTAATATCTTAATAGTATGCAGAAAACAAACTGACCAGGAGTTGTGTAAATAAACTCAGTCCAGTTACTCTCCATAATAATGTTCCTTGTTCCACTCAAGAGAAGCTGTGTTTTAACTTTAGCAACAAAGCCAGGATATAAATTGAGACTTATCTTCTTTTCCGTTTCTGAACATCTTTCCTGGAAAAAAGAAAATAGAGATTTACAATACGATTAACAGGACTGTGTGTTATATGCAGGGCTCTGGTTTTCTCTGATTTAAATCCCCAATTTTCAGATTAAAAAAACTAACACAAAATCCACATTTTTCCATGATTTTTTTAATATATATATATACACACACCTATACATATATACGTATATATGTATATATATATGTGTGTGTGTGTGTGTGTGTGTGTGTGTATATCTATATATGTGTATATATAGATATACACATACACACACACGTATATATGGAAAGATATATATATATTAGTGAGGTTTCATTTTAATCACGGAAAAATGTGGATTTTGGGTTACTTTTTTTTAATGCAAAAATTGGCAGATTTTTTTTTATCAGTGTAAAAAATAGGATCCCTGGATGATATAACTGTTTATTAAAAAGAAAACCAATATAACCTGAATTCTTTAAATCAAGTGTTATATTTTAAAATTAAAATTATATGCAATAAGTAGGGCTGTCAGTTAATCAACATTAACATACATAATTAACACAAAAGAAATTAACACAATTTTTGTAATGAGGATTAATCACTCACATCCATTTTGACCAGGGGTAGGGAAAATATGGCCTGCGCCATGCCCTCTCCAGACCCATCCTGGCAGAGAGGACCAGTTCTGGACCAACCAAAACCTGCACATGCAGCCCTGACCCGGGCCTGCCCTCTACCTGCTCTGGATTCAGCCCAGTGGAGCAGATCACTTCTTGACCAGCAGGAAACCACATGCACAGCCCCAACCCCAACCTAGCCCGCACCTACTCCAGACTGCCCGCCCACGCTGAGCGTGGCAGCAGCATCAACAGCTGGGCAGAAGCTGCTGATGGCTTGGGGGAAAGTGGCCCCTCCCTCTTCCTGCTGCCATGCCCTTCTTGCTGCAGCCTCCCAGATCCCATACCCAGGCTGCCCTGCAGCTCCTCTCCACCACCACTACTGCCGCCGAGCAGAGCAGCAGTGTCAGTGCAGAGGAGCCACAGGGCAGCCCAGGCCAGGCTCCAGGTGGCTGCAGCAAGAAGGGCTCAACAGCGGTGAGGAGGAGGGCCCACTTTTCCCCTGCACCAAGCAGCAGCTTCTGCCTGGCTGCTGCTGCTCAGCATAGGCAGATGAGTCTGGAGCAGGCATGGAGTGGTTTGGGGTCAGGGCTGTTCACACAGGTTCCAGCTGGTCTGTTCTGGCTGGTGCGAACCTGGAGTGGGCCGGGAGTGGGGCTAGAGCTGTGTGCTGTTGGTGACCATGGCGGAGGAGCCCCAGGGAACACGGGCTGCAGGCTGTTCGGGGGGGGGTGCTGACTACTGTTTAACAGTGCAATCAAAATTGCGATGAATTGCAACTATTTTTTTTAAATCTCACAATTAATTGCGATTTTTTTTTAACCATTTGTCAGCCCTCATAATAAGTGACTTACTTTCACTTCTTTCGTTGAATTGAGAAATGTATAAGTCAAAACATATTTCACATCATTCATCTCCATTTCTTCCCTCACATTGCTGTTCCAGGATAGAATTACTCCAGGCCAGTGTTTTGAAACTCTCAGGTCACTGGGTGCCATAAGACGAGCTGTGAACAGAATGATAGTTACACTTATTGGATTATATGTGGGTCTGGAAAAGTACCCCACATATAATCAAAAGGTTGTCTGATATTTTCTATTAACAGGTTTTTTTCAGTTGCTTATAACTTTACTAAAGCTTAAATGTTTGGGCTGAAATTTTCCATGCTTAGGCATAAGCTACATCCCTGTCTTTTGGTGAAAAAAATTGGCCAAAAATAGTTCAGCCATTTCTGAGAATGAGGCCTGCTTTGTCTCATTTTAGAAAGTTCTCAAGGTCTTTTTCTTCCAGTTCCTTAACACCCAGACCTTGGAACACAAAGTTGAAATTTTGAAGTGTGGTTTTTGTGTCAGGTTTAGATTTTTTGCCATCCCCATTAAAATCCACCTGAATTTAGCTTCATAAAAAATCCCAACACTTAAGATACATTCATCAGATGATATCTAAATTGTCTCTACTTAAAGTCCCTGAATAGCCTATCTACATGGAGAATACTCAGAAGCAGGTCAGATCTGAACTTTCTCTGCAGGTATAGCTCTGGATGGCATAATGACTGACTACCAGATCTAAAATCAAAACAACTACTTCATTTGGTTTTTCAGTGCCCCCTGTGTTGAGCCCAGGCAGCAGGGTGAGGGTGCACAGGGAATAAAAGATGAATCTTCAGTGAGAAACTGAATAGCTTAGAAAGAACCTTTCAGTAGGACAGAAGATTGGGATTAGATGCAGAAAGTAGGGAAAAGACTTGGACTTGATGGTAGGGTACTAGTAAGGAGACAGGGATGGCCTGGAAAAGAAACCTAGGACTAAGAGCTAAAGCAGTGGGTGGGAGTGTGGATGGCTATCCTAATAACTGTGCTGCATCCCCACCTACATTAATTAAACACAAAGTGTGCTAAAGGAACATGGGTACGGTTGTTAAGTCACGCCCTCAAAAGTTACAAAAATGAGAATTTTGTAACCATATTGCACCCTGTGTGCCATTGGTATGCATTATCATATTTATAATGTACACATTGTTAGTAATCATATGTAGCAGGGAGCCCTGGGCTCCTGTTTATTTAGGGAGAGAAAAGGCAGCAGACACAGCCCAAATAGCTGAACAGGGGCTAGTCACAAGAAGGAAGGCAGCAAAGAAACACTGCTTCCTAGGCAAAGAGCGGTCCGTAAGAGGGAAGGGGTGAACTTGCAGCCAGGTAGGAGCACTCTTCTCGGGGCAAACTATCTGTAAGGGAATATAGAGCTAAGGAAATAGGCCAGTAGGGCACAGCCTAGCTCATGCAGCAGGGATACTGCTAGAGCAGCAATCATAAGCTGCCATGGCAAGTAGCCATCAACAGGGATCCTGGTTTTCTCTGATATAAAAATCCCCAATTATCACATTAAAAAAGTAACCCAAAATCCACATTTTTCTGTGATTAAAATGAAATGCCTCTAATACATAGAGGCATGAAGAGACTTTGATCCTGAAAGCTTGCAGAAAAGGACCATTTTCCTGCGATTTCCCAGTTGGTCTAATAAAAGGTATCATTTTGGAACCAAGAGTTTTAGTTGTTTGTATGTCTTCTAATACATAGATGTATATATAGTGGTGTTTCATTTTGATCATGGAAAAATGTGGATTTTAGGTTACTTTTTTAACCTGGAAATTGGGGTTGTTTTTCTGTCAGAGGGAACCAGGATCCCTGGCCATCAGGCCCTAACCAGAAAGCAGTGCTTAGCTGGAGGGGCACTGGAATGGAAGAGGCAGGGATTATGCTGCATATAAGCCTAGGACCTGAGCCAGGTCAGGCAGGCTGGCCCAGCAAGGTGGAGAATAAGAAGCTCCCTGACTGCGGGAAGGGGGTCCCTGACTCCTGAAACCCACTAGGAATGGAGATAAAACGCCGAAGGTTTGCTATCAGGGGGATGTAACCCAGGGAGAGATTCCAAAGCCCAGGGCTTAGCCCAGAAGAGGCAGTCTGGTCCTGGAGCACTGCTAGTTGGCACTGGGGCTGGCTTAAGGAAGGTGAACAGAGTGTTGATGCCTTGCAGGGGCTTATTAGCTGAAGCAAGGAGAAGCTGTGTTAGGCAGGTAGGTAGCTGTTGCTTATGTTTGGACCCAGAGGGGGTTTAGTTGTGGTTGCCAGAAGGTTTACACCTGGGTTACAGTTTTGACAAGTGGTTTGGGAGTGACTGAAAGGGGAGTGAGTGGAGGCCATGGTGGGGCACCTGAAGAGATCCAAGCCTAAAGACAGAGAAAGAAAGGTGGAAATCTAGCTCAGACAGGAGCTGGACAAGGGCCCGGGGGCTCAGTGCCCAGGGAGGGCAGAGCCAGGGTCAGGCAGCTCTTGTGCATGAGAGGGACAGAGATGGGGGCCAGGGACCCAGAACAGAGGACACTGGGGCCAGGAGCCCAAATGGAGCTACAGCAAATGCAGTGCCGAAGGCAGTGAAGAGACAGCCCTAGGGGGGAGAGACCAGGGCCAGTGGCCAGGAGCCCGTGGAGGGCATAACCTGAGAGGATGAGGCTCAGGCTGGGACCCAGAAGTCAGGCCCAGGACAAGGGAAAAGAGGCTAAGACCAGGAAACCTGAGGCTGTGACAAAGATATAAGGGCTGAGACCAGGAAACCTGAGGCTCTGACAAGGGTATAAGGGCCTGAGGTGGGACCAGATGCCCACCATTAATTGGTAACTGCTGGGCAGCATGGGTGCAGTGTAAAGAATGGTTGGAAGCACGTAACTAGCCCTTATTGCTAGCAGGTGCCTGGGAGAATAAGCAGTCATCTTGAGGAATTGGGGTGAGCTCTAGGATCCATTAGGCAGCCTCCCTTCCCATCAAACAATTACATCAAATGGTGTGGCAGGAGAGGGCACCCTAGGGCTGGAGCTGGGTAAGGGTTGTGTGGCCACCAAGGTGTATTCCAGCTACCCCTGGAGTACAAACCCAGCTAAATCATACTATTCCCCTCCCTCCCTCCCCCTAACAGGAACCCCCCTCTAACAATAGTCAGAATTCTTATCAACTCGCATCTTTTCCTCTGGTCTCAATAAATGCAGTCTTGCCTCACTCATACACTTCTGCAGAGACTGTTTTCATAGCCCTGCCTTACTCTGGCTCCCTTTTTCTATCTTGTTAACCATAAAATACTTGTCTTCCCTTTCACGACCGACCCCTAGCCTATCTGTGATCTCTCATTCACTATCAATATGTTTAAACCTGCAGTCAGTCCATTATATCAGTCTCCCTTTCCCAATTCCTAAACTGTCAACAAAATGCCTTTGTGCTTTCTCCCCTGCTAATCCTCTGTATATAGAGAGGGAGTTAGCCATGTTTGTCTGAAGTCAGGCAGAAGGTATGGCAGCATGGCACGCTGTAGACTAACTTGTTCAAGGAGGCATGAGATTTCGTAAGCTACAGCATACTTCATCTGATACATCTGCCTTCTGCCCATGTTTACTTGATATGCATATATTCATAGCTTTGTGGTCTAAGCCTGCAATTAATGTGGTATAATTAATTGGTAACCACTTAACATAATATTTCAACATGTATACAATGTTGAAATATTAGTGAACACCTCAGTAACATGGCTTGGGTAGTATCACAGGAGAATTTCATAGAAGAAATAGAAACATAATCCAATTCTCAAGAGAAGCACTTAGCCGCTTTGGTGATAAAACCACCTTTTATCTTCATGCAATCTGCAGCAGTATTAGTTAAACACCTTCTAACTACTGCAACAAATGAGGCAAGAAACCAACCAACAGTTGTCTTCAGTAGTAAACCCTAATTCCTTCCTTGACTGGACCTATCCTGTGCACTGTATAAAGCAGGGACCCTGCAGGAAAATAGGTAATAATGTAAGAATGCACCATCATCCTGCAAGGGGCTGAATTAAAAGTTGCACAGGTAACTTTAATTTTGTCTTTCCTAACCTTTGAGCACTTGAGTTTCCAGCCTCTTTTAATGTAATTTTTTGTGTAATTAAAGAATTCATGTTAATGGCTACCATTATCAGTGATACTAACCACCTTGAAGGGAAAAGCACAGAGCAGGTCAGTGTCCCAAAGGCCCCTTTACCCTGGCCATTTGCTTTTGCTGAAGCACCCAATCCTGTAATTCATACTACTGCAAGCAGCCCAAATAATATTTATGAAAATCCCACTGAGTATATAAGGTTTATGAGGACAGGGTGCTGTAGGAAATCAATGGGAGTCCAGTATCTAAATACCAAACAGCAGCATTTCCCCAATTTGGTTTATATCCCAATGTAGCAGGGTCAGGCACTCTTGCATATCCCCCTCCACTTTAGCTGTTGCCACTGCTTTCCCTGCTGCTGATTTCCCCGGCTTCTGAATACTGCCAGCAAGCGGAATCAACTGCAGCCAGGAGTGGAGAGAATCAGCAGCAAGGGGAAAAATGGTCCCTAGTGGCATTTGTCAACAATTTTCCCCAGCCACTGATTGCTGTCTATGCTCTGATTGCTGGTCAGTGGAAGAAATCGATGGGGGTGGCAAGGGGGAGGACGTCATAGCAGCTGAAGTAGTGGGAGGTGCATGGGCAGAATGTCCTTTCCCCCTAAGAATCTTTTGCACTCCTCCAGGGGGGTGTGCCCCACACTTTGGGAAATGTTGCTGTAGAGAATCCAGGCCTAAGGGGCATGATTCAAAGCCCAGGGAAGTCAGTGAAAATCTTTCTGTTGACTTCAACAAGGTGGTGGATCAGACCTGAGGACAAGTGCTGGTGAAGTACCTGAGGTATTGTAATAAAAGAGTGATTGAAAATACAGAGAAAGAATAAAGAATGCATAGATGTAGGAGCTTTAGGTTAAAGCAAGACAGTATTCTGGCTTCCTACCTCAAGGCACTGTTGTTAAATGAACACTGGGAGCTGAGGGTTTTTGACCACCTGACCCTTGATGTATTCTTTCAATGGCACAACACTTACCAGTACCTGTTGGTTCTCCACTTGCCAGGCTAACAGAAATCAGCATCTTATACCAGATGAGATTCAGCATTTTCATGACTGGAGCAATCGTACAATATGCCATATTAAATGCTTTACCCTTCTGTTCTGGTTGAACCCAAAAGGCTTTGTTTCTGTTTGTGGCTGAAAAGACCTTTAAGACATGAAATTTATTTTACAGTAGCAGAACAGTATTATTTAACACTGTGGCTTCTTAGCTAGGCATAAAGCATGAATACAAAATGAGCTGCTTTGTTTTAAAAGCAATGATCTTATCAATTCTCAGCCCTGGTTAAACAGCATATAGGGGAGGATAGATGAGGTATGAGTGTATGTCTCTATGTCTCCCTCACTTATGAACTGGGTAATTCCCTGAGCTGCCAGGAGCTGAACAGGTCCCAACACAAGTTAGATTAGCTCTAAAGTTTACAGGGTTTATGAAAAGTAAATCTAAAAAAAATCAAGGAAGTAAGCACCCTGTAATATGAAAACAACTGATGTGAGTAGTTCTGCCATCTGTGCATACATTCCAGCATTTACTCTAAATAAGAGAAAGAAAGAAATATATCGTTTTAAAAAATCAAGAAACTTATAGCTCAGTTTCTTTTACGTTTGCATGCACTCTCTGTATGCATGGCAGGTTTTTCAGTGCTTCTGGTTGTTTATCAGAGAACACAAAGAAATTAGAAAGAGAGGGTACATTTAAAATATAGAATTTTTAAATATTATCTTTACAGTAGTTGGAAATTTTCTCACTAGAATATAAAACACATAATTCAGGTAAACTCAGAAAGTTATTAGGCCTACTTTGGAAAAAAAATTCAATCACTGAAAAGTGAAACAGACTTTATTCATGATTTAAGTACAGATCTCAAAGCAAACTATGCAGTTCATACCACCATCTGTATAATTAGGTAGTATTAGCACTTCTGTTTAAAGTAAAGGATGTACGGTTTTTTTAAACCCCTTTTTGCGATGGTATGCTATGCACATAAACAATGTGATTTGGTCCATTGCTTTAGAGTACCAAATCTGGTTTTGCTCTTTTTTTTCAAATTCTAGATGATCTTTTCAAGTGTGTATTCAGTCGTCGGAGCTGACCTATATCACTTGGAACTGACAAGCCAAAGAGGTCAGAATCGGAGGCTCCATTAGGAACAAAGGGCAGACAAGCGACACTATTGTAAGCCAGTTCCTTGTTCTCAAGACAACACTGCGGAGTGACTTGTAGTCACAGCAGTCTGCTCGTTTATCATTTGGAGCCAAATACAACAGTAATCTTAAAGAACCTGGAAGAGCG